AGACACTAAACCTCGACGCAACACCAGGGGACCCTGTCCAAAGACTGGTCGGTGAAGCCCCTGGCCGAGAGACGCGAGGCCAGAGGTTCAGCTGGTGAGCGGCGTACCGAGCCGCGTAGGGCCACAGAAAATGGGGCGCGCGGGCGTGGATCATGGAGGTGCGGGCGATCTCCATGACCAGGCCTAAGCGGCGCTCAGCAACCCCATTCTGCTGTGGAGAGTCTGGGAGAGTCCAGGACTGGGTGATGCCCTGCTCAGCACAGAAACTGGCGAGAATGCCGGAGCAAAACTCACCCCCACGGTCGGAGTGGAGACAACTGACACGACGACCACGAGTGCCCTCGGTGGCGAGGAGCCACCGGATCAGCGTAGAAGTCACGTCGGACTTCTTCGCCAAGGGGAACACGGTGGTGTACCGAGAGTAATCGTCAACGACCACCAGAAAGAAACTCTCCCGCTCAGGGCCAAGGCGGGAGGCGGGGCCCCAGACGTCTAAGTGGAGTGTCTGGAAGGGCTCGGTGGCCGGACGAAGGGAGGAGGAGTGGGGGGTGGCGCGAAGCCGACCCTGGACACAAGGACCACACGGAGGAGCTGGGGACGGCGGGAGTGGTGGGAGGACTCGGGGGAGGCCTAAGACAAGACGCTGACTGGACATGGCGCGCAGACGAGGAAGGGACGGGTGCCCCATCCGGTGGTGCCACAGAACGGTGGGGTGGGCAAGCGACCGACACGAGCACGACGCAGCAACTACACCTGACACAGCAACCTGACTGGACCCGGCTACCTGGTGGGACGGGGGAACCTGACGGGGGTCGGTGCGGAGGGTGTACAGACCAGAGCCCGGCTCCTGGCGGAAAGTGGCCAAGGGGGCGTACGTGTCACCGTCGACGCAGACTGCGGTGTCACCAGAAGGCTCAACCCAGACCCCGACGTGCTGTCTCGCCAGGGTGCCCACACCAACCAGGTTCCTAGAGAACGTAGGAACGTGGAGGCCGGTCAGGGAACCAGAAGGAGCAGCTGGGCACGGGAGTGTAGTGGCGTGAGTCGCAATGACCGGTCCCGAGGAGGGATCGGCCAGTGCTACAGGGACAGGTGCCGGTAGCGGAGAGAGAGTCGTGCAGTCGCGGAAGAAGCAGTGCGACGCTCCTGAGTCCAGTGTGAAGGAGAGAGACGCGTCCGCCGAGAAAGTACCTGTACTAGTAGCTAAACAAGATCCTACACTGGCACCTACTCTAGCAACAGGCAAGTACACAGATCCAGGAGCACTATAGTCAACATCAGCATACATGGCATAAGACCTAGCATCATCCATAGTCATATCAAAAACAGCAATGCCACGAGCAAGAAGCGTCCCCCAGCGTGGCGGCGGGGGAGCAGAGGGGCCGTGGTGCAAACGGTAGAGGTCGTCGAGACGACTGAAGCAGCGTGCAGCAGAGTGGTCGGGGCGGCCACAGTACGAGTCCCGTCGAGGACCCGTAAGGATCCAGTACTCACAGGGACCAACGTCGCGGCCGGCCGAGCGAGGTCCCCGACTGGAGGGGGGGGCACTGCGCCCAGTGCTCGGGGGACCCACAGACCTCCACTGCTGCTGAGGGCCCCACTGCTGCGGAGGCCCCCACTGCTGAGGCTGCTGCTGCGGTGGGCGCTGCTGCTGGCCCTGTCGCTGCTGCTGCGGTCCCTGCTGCTGCTGCTGTCCAAGCTGTGGCAGCTGCTGAGAAGTCGGCTGCTGCTGCTGCTGGAACCCCCCACCACCAGTGATAACTCCACCGTCGAGAGGAGGACCGTCAGGGCCCGAGCCACCCCCACTACCACTCCCACCACCCGCCCCACCGCCGCCACCACTACCCACACCACCCCCAGTACCCCCGCCCTTCCCTCCCTTCTTGCTAGCCTTGCCACGTTTCTGTCCGCCAGAGACAGAAACAGCCGCCGTCTCCTCAGAGGCAGAAGACGCGGGGATGGCAAGGGAGGCAGTGAAGGTGGGAAGCTGTGGTACCGCACACCCCTCAAAAAGACGAGGAGGAGGCGCGGAAGAGGCAGAGGCAACGGTGAGGAGGTTACTCTCGATCTTCGAGAGAGCGGTCTCAAGAAGATCGATGGTAAGCTCAGTGGGATGCTTCAGAAGAAGCGCGTCGCGGGCTGTGGCTAGGCGGTCAGGGAGGCGAGTGACTAGCCAGTGAATGGTGAGCCACATAGGGGGCGGGGCAAGGGCAAGCTGGTCCTCAGTGCAAGCAGCACGAAAGCGAGTGTCAAGGGAGCGCAGGTGGGCAGTGAGGTCAGAGACAGTCTCAAAGGAGGCGAGGTCAGGGTAGATAAAGGGGACGAGGAGGCGACTGAGTGAGGCAGAGGAGGGAGTGGAGTAGCGAGCAACAATAGCCTTATACAGATCTGCAGCGGACTCGACCTGAGTGAAGTGGACTGCCTCGGTCGGTGGGAGAAGGTCGGTCAGGGCGAGGCAGGCAGCGGCGTCACGAGACTCCCACACGTCGCGAGCGAGGAACTGGCGCTGGTACTCGGCCTCCTGCTCAGGAGTAGGCGACGGGGTGGTGGGCAGCGGCCTAGGCTGAGGAGGGGCGGTCTGAGTACCGGATGCGTGTGCGAACAGGTGCACGCCATCCTGCCGCTGGCTCTTAAGGTGGCGCTGCGCCTGCGTAAGCCACGTACTAAAATCAATCGGTCTCCCCTCAGGGTCAAATCGAAGTACTCGAGTGGTCGCCATAAGGGGCGAAAAACGAGAGAGCGCGGCTACCAGCCGCAGGAGGGTGAGACAGTCAGTGGCACGTGGGCAGGCGCGCAGGCAAGGAGGCGAGGAGGCAGTGTAAGAGGCGCACAGGGGGCAGTACGGCGCGCTGGCCGGTGGGCGGCGCGGCGCGCTGGCCGGCGGGCGACGCGGCGCGCAGGCTGGCGGGCGGCGCAGCGCTGGCGTGGCGCGCTGGCGTGCGCGCTGGCGTGGCGCGCTGGCGTGGCGCGCTGGCGTGGCGCGCTGGCGTGGCGCGCTGGCGTGCGCGCTGGCGTGGCGCGCTGGCGTGGCGCGCTGGCGTGCGCGCTGGCGTGCGCGCTGGCGTGACGCGTTGGCGTGCGCGCTGGCGTGGTGTGCTGGCGTGGCGCGCTGGCGTGCGCGCTGGCGTGGCGCGCTGGCGTGCGCGCTGGCGTGGCGCGCTGGCGTGCGCGCTGGCGAGCGCTCTGGCGTGGCGCGCTGGCGGGGCGCGCTGGTGTGCGTGCTGGCGTGTGCGTTGGTGCGGCGCGCTGGCTAGGGCGCTGGCGTGCGCGCTGGCGGGCCTGCGGGCTAGTACATATGGGGTAGACGGGCTAGGGCGACGGCGCAGGCGCAGGCTAGGTCGACGGCCTAAGACTAGGAACGGCGCAGGTTGTGGCCTAGGAACGGCGAACCTACTGCTGATACCATCTCAGTAACTAAACACAGCGGAATGACTTGCATTGATTGAGTTGGGGTACAAGTACCTAACCCTAATTGTTTGTACCCCATATAGTATGACCCACTAAGGGCTATAACATTTGACAAAAAGTAGCTAGGCGAGAACCTTCAGATGTGCGTGGCTCGGAAATGTCGCGATTGGTGCGGGGCGACTCGGAATTGGTTCGGTGCGAAAGTGTAGGTCGAGCCATCCTGACGCGAAGTGCTCGGGCTGTCCTCGCTAGGAGCAGCGTCTACAGTAATAAAATGTATATTCATTACAATAACTGTCCTAAATTAACATGGACAATTTTATTACGCCCCCTTCCTACGAAGACTAAAATTACGCGAGAAAGAAAAAATATATATATAGCCAGGCATAAGCACCAAAAGTATAAAACTCTCCACGTTGCGTGTACATGACTCGCTAAGCAACCAATGCTTGCTGGTTTACAGGTGGGTGATACAAGGTGTATGGCGAGGCGATCCCGCCCAACGATTGCCCCGGCCCATTCGGCGAGCATGCCTTTTCGCGCTGACGTCACTCGCGCTTCCATCGCTGAAATTGTTGGGGAGGGCAATTTCCCGCATCGCTAATCAAGCTTCTCCCGCCAAGCCTATGAACGGTACTTGCGGTCACCCCGAACCTGGGGCTAGAGTTCGGTAGCGTCATCCAACATTATATGCGAACACTAGTTTCGTTTAACCCCAAACGCTAATGAAGACACCTCTAAGTCTCGACCATGATCGGAAACTACCCCCTGCCAATATCAACTCCGCTGGCTTGATGGATTGTCAAATACATAGAACTTAAAAAAATGGATAGTAGTGAATGAATTTCGCGTGTAACGTTTTCAGCTAGTCCCGGTTTCACTCAAACTCAAGGAGGGTGTGCCTTTCATTCAGGTTGTAAGCTCTATATAACTAGGGATACCAGGCAGAGATATACGAACCGCACAGAATTGCATCAGCAGATATTCGACCGCACCTCGCGGAAGCCACAACGCCCTCCCTCCTTGGGCCTAGTTTCCGGCGCCTCACGTCACATCACCGTCAACAGTCCATCCAATCCCCTCAACCAGCATCAACTCTTCTCTCCCTTCCCTTCCCTTTCCTCACTCACTCCAACCATCTCTTGCCAGGAAGTTTGTTTGCGCAGTTCCGACATTCGACCTGTCCCAAAACGCGATACTTCAATTTACGGCGCTTCTGGCACGTCATTTACAACGCGTAACCAACAGTTCCATCGCATGCAATACCCGTGCTCGCTGTTCGCTTCTGATCACCGTAGCAACAACGCTGCTACCTTCATGTAATTACCATCTACTCATTGACAACAATCGTAAAACTTCCACTATTACCACTTAATTCAACTAATCAACTATTCGTAGTAGGTGCTGCACTCGTATTCACTTCCGTCTTCAGTCCAGAACATCGTAAAAATACCGAGCTCAATGGAAGCGGGCGGGGTGGCGGTGAGGGAGAACCGAATGGCGGCCTTCGCGGGAAGTGGGAGGCGTTCGGGCAGACCAAGGTGGCGGCGCTGAAGGCAGCTGTGGCGCAGGGCGTGGCGCAGAGCCAGCAGATGTTCGAGAAGGAGAAGCCTGCTCTGCTCACGCCCGTCGAGCAAGAAGCCAAGGTGATTGATATGTGTGTAGCACATGGTGTAGCGCAGGCTGTAGGATGCCAAGGTGATGAGAGAAGGCATTGAGTGCCTAGCACAGCGTACAGCATAGGGTGTATTGGGGTTCGACACATGGATGAGAAGGAGAGGTCAGCTGACTCGACCAGGAGGCGTAGTTGATTACATAGAGCTCCTGCTCGCTCTTGCCTTCATTGAGTACGCGCTACAGGCAGAGTGCAATACTCGTTTACAGCGGGCGGTTACTATCGACCAAGGCTTCGCCCCGCAAATCGAGCGATGCTACGTGAACGCGGCGATCACATCGGATCGAACGAGAGGTGGATACGAGAGGAACAGGGCATGGGAGGAGTAATGGAAAGTGCAGGTTGGACAATATATAACCAGCTCAGCAGACCTTATCATCTCCATGGCACAGATAAAAAGCTCAAATGTCAACCTGCACGCGAAGTAGCACGCGGAACGGCTCAAATGCCTGTTTTCCCCGCTATCGTTTTCCGCGCTCTTACCCCCCGTGTGCGTTTCCTCTCGGTCACTCTCTCGGAGTGTTTTCGCGCTATCTTTTCTCTTGCTGCGTGCTTTCGCGCTCTCTCGTTCTGTCGCTTGTGCGCTCCTCCATTCAGGTGAAGGAGCTGTACGAATCCCCCGGTGGCCTTTTGAGAAATCCGTCTCTACACTCTTACGCTCCAACGATTTCGCGCTCTCACTCTTTCTCTCTCTCCCTGTGCGCTCCTCCGTGCAGGTGACGGAGCTGTGCGAATCCCCCCGTGGCCTTTTGAGAACTTCCAGAAGTGGCTCTACTCCTCACTCCTCACTCCTTACGCTTAAGTGATTTCGCGCTCTCACTCTTCCATTTTGTTTCTCCCCTGTGCGCTCCTCCATGCAGGTGAAGGAGCTGTGCGAATCCCTCGGTGCCCTTTTGAGATTTCTCAGAAGTGACTCCCTCGCACTCTTTGCGCTAAAAATAGCTTTCACGCTCTCACTCTCTCTCTCTCTCTCTCCCTTTCTCCCTACGCGTTTCCCCGTGCAGGTGAAGGAGCTGCGCGCATCGCTCGGTCCGCTCCCCAAGCGCGCGCTGATATTCTGCTCCGACGCGTGTCTGCGCCGATACCTGCGCGCGCGCAACTGGCACGTGCAGCGCGCCGAGCGCATGCTGCGCGACACGCTCAAGTGGCGCGACCAGTGCCGCCCGGAGGAGATCCGATGGGTACGTGCAGTCTCACGCGCATACCTACATTAGGTAGCACGTACGTTCATTCACACACACGCCCGCACATGCGTAAGCACGTCCATTATTAACGATGCAACACTACTTCGCACTGCGCGGACTCGCTACCACCACCGAAACGTCCAATTGATGCCAGCCTTCGCAGCGGAGGTGGGTGTTGGAACCACCAACGTGCAACCTCCTTATCTCCTCTCTCCCCGCTATTTTCGCATTATCCCCACCAGACGCAATTGTGTTGTGAGTCAAAACACAATTGCGTTTACTTAGCTAAGTGTTGACTACGATTGTGATTCATGGGTCGTGCGGTGACGCGATTGCAGGCGGACGTGGCGGAGGAGGGCGCGACTGGAAAGGTGTACCGAACGGCATTCCAGGACAAACACGGCCGCCCAGTCGTGGTGCTCTCTGCCGGCCAGCAGGTGAGGTGCTTGCGAGAGGGAGGGGCTTGCGAGGTGCTGAGGTAGATAAGGGCTGTGTGTGACCTGAGAGAAGGAAGGGCAATCTATGCAGGATGGGCAGAGAAAGTGCAGGATGGGCAGAGAAAGTGCAGGATGGGCAGAGAAAGTGCAGGATGGGCAGAGAAAGTGCAGGATGGGCAGAGAAAGTGCAGGATGGGCAGAGAAAGTGCAGGATGGGCAGAGAAAGTGCAGGATGGGCAGAGAAAGTGCAGGATGGGCAGAGAAAGTGCAGGATGGGCAGAGAAAGTGCAGGATGGGCAGAGAAAGTGCAGGATGGGCAGAGAAAGTGCAGGATGGGCAGAGAAAGTGCAGGATGGCGTTCTCTGCCAGCCGCTGGGTGACCGGAATAGGGTTTCACTTGGCCAATTCGAGTTCATTGAGTCAGTCGCTCGGCCACTGTGCACACCTCACTCACCTCCCCCTCTGTACCAGACTACCAGAGTTTCCAGAGGCTGACAACCTTCATCTGTGCATTCTCCTTGCTTGCAGAACACCAATAACCACGCGGGACAGGTGCGGCATCTCGTGCATTGCCTTGAGAACGCCGTCATGAACCTGCCGGCCACTGCCCGCAGCAGCAGCAGCCGCAGCAGCAGGATAATGGCAGGCAGGGGGGGCAGCAGGGAGAGGAGCAGGGGAGCAGGAGCAGATGGTGTGGCTGATTGATTTCCGCGGGTGGAGCATGCGTAAGGCCCCGCCGCTTAAGACATCTCGCGAGGTGCTGAGCATTCTGCAGAGCCACTACCCGGAGAGGCTCGGTGCTGCTGTCATCTACAACCCGCCCGCCGTCTTTGAGGCCTTCTGGAAGGTGGGTTGGTGCGTGAGGCCCCGGGGGAATGTGAGGGTGGGCATACCATGAGTATTAAGGGGGGAAACAAAGGGTCCCTGCGGATGGTGGGATGATACTGCTCCATGGGAATGGTGGGATGGAGGTACAAGAGATTTGCACCTGATCTCTTTTCTTGTGATTTTTTTCTCGTTGCACTTTCTGCCAGCATGAGTGGTTGCGATCCATTCTGCGAGTGGTTACGAGGAATAAGCCTTGAATATGCCGTGGTCATCATTGTCCGCTCTACTTGAGCAGGTGATCCGGCCCTTCATAGACCCGGTGACATTCAACAAGATTCTCTTTGTCAACCCATCCAAGCCTGACACGGTGAAGAAGCTCGAGGGAATCTTCGACCTCGACCGACTTGAGGAGGCGTTTGGGGGGCGGTCCACGTGGACCTATGACCATGTGACATATGGCGAGATGATGGCACGGGATGATGAGAAGATGGCAGAGTACTGGGGGATTGTTGAGGGGGAGCGATTGGTGCAGCAGCAGGAGATTGTGGGGGATGAGAGAGTGGATGGTGTTTACAGCACCCAGGGCAGCGAGGAAAGTTCCCTGAGCAGCAGCAGCAGTTCCAGCAGCCTCAGCAGCACCAGCAGCAACAGCGATGGTGACGGAGGTGCTAACCTTTGGTTACCCATTGAGGTGCTTGCTCCCACTGATCCGAACACACCGCATCCAGTCCAAGCACATGCGCAAACGAATGGAGTGCTCACAAATCTCCATAAGATGAGCCTCAACAGGTTCATCAAGCGACCAACGTGGCCTCAATAACACAGATAGTGTTTTCTAAGTCGTACTGTGCTGGTGAATGTTTGCAGTCTTGTTGTGTGTCTACAGTTAACTACGTTGTAGGTTGAAGCAGCATTTTAGTTTATGTTAAAAGGCCTCTGATCAGCATCCTAATTCTTATACCAATGACACCCCCGTTGTACAGTTGAGACGAAACTGCCACGATATGGCAATTATGAGGCATACCGTACCTGGCATTGTCAACTCAATTCTGACCATGGAATGTACAAAGACACGAATTACCATCAATGTAAAATAAGCACAACCTCCTTTAACAATCACGTGATACACACTGCACTGCTTTTACGGTACCCTCTACTCACCTTTTCCTTGGAAAAGACCCATTTCCCAGTACTCTACCATCAACGCAACCACTCTCAAGATTTGGAATCTCTGAAATTACCTCATCCTCCTCATCCCCAAAGCCCGGGCATGCAGTGATCACGAGAGTCCTGAGGCTGGTGAGACTGTCTAAGGACTGCGGCAGACAGGACAGTTAAGGGCACGAACTGATAGTCAGCCGCTGCAGCTGTGAAAGATTTCGCATGTCTGCTGGAAGCTCGTACAGCTCCGTAAAGCCAAACAGGAGGAGCGTTTTCAAATTCGAGAGCTGGCAAATAGACCTCAGAAAGTCATCCTCCGTGCACGTCACGCAGTTGGCTGGCCACCCAAACTCAAGAGTCGTAAAGCTGCTCCAATGCCGAAGGAGGGATGGAGACACCCTCTCAACTTTGTCGCAATAATTGAAGGAGAAAGTGCGGAGGTTGGGAAGGGTAGCTGGAAGGTGAGTAAGGCTTTTGAGTTGGCTCAACTCGAGATGCTCCAGAGATGACAGGCGATCCATGCTGTTTGGAAGGTCCGTGAGCCGTGGGCAATTCTTGAGGACCAACGTGTGCAGGTTAGAAAGCTTGCAAAGCGAGTCAGGGAGCGATACAAACTGTAGACAATTTCTGATGGTCAGCGTCTTGAGAGAACCTAGGCCCGACGCTGGATTCAGAAGGGATTCAAAATCACACCACACGAGCTCAAGAACTTGTAGAGACGTGAGCTGGAAAACGAATCCGGGAGGTCGGAGAGGGAATTGCGATATAATGTCAAATGTGTAGCCTGTAGTGAGGCTTGTCTTAGGGGGTACATCTGTTAGGGTTTCTATATGTACCCCAACCACATCAATAAAAAACAACATTCTCTCATTCTAACATGGTATCAGCTAGTTGGATCCTATTGGATCCCGATCCTCCCGTTCCCGTTCGTTACGTCCGAGCCTCTCGTTACTGTTACGCCCGAGCCTTCCGTTACTGGTAGATCGCATGGTCGCGCCTTCCCCCCCGCTTCTAATCGCGTCGCGCCGCCCTTCCCCCCCCCCCCCCCCCCCCCCCCCCCCCCCCCCCCCCCCCCCCCCCCCCCCCCCCTCCCTCCCCCTGGCCCGTCGCCCAGGCCCGCGCCCTAGCCCGTCGCCCTGGCCCGTCGCCCTGGCCCGTCGCCCTAGCCGCGCCCTAGCCTGTCGCCCTAGCCCGTCGCCCTAGCCCGTCGCCCTGCCCGCGCCCTAGCCCGTCGCCCTAGCTCGTCCCCCTAGCCCGTCGCCCTAGCCCGTCGCCCTGCCCGCGCCCTAGCCCGTCGCCCTAGCTTGTTGCCCTAGCCCGTCGCCCTAGCCCGTCACCCTGCCCGCGCCCTAGCCCGTCGCCCTAGCCCGTCGCCCTAGCCCGTCGCCCTGGCTGCGCCCTAGCCCGTCGCCCTAGCCCGTCGCCCAGGCCCGCGCCCCAGCCCGTCGCCCTGGCCCGCGCCCTAGCTCGTCGCCCAGCCCCGCGCCCCAGCCCGTCGCCCCAGCCCGTCGCCCAGGCCCGCGCCCTAGCCCGTCGCCCAGGCCCGCGCCCCAGCCCGTCGCCCCAGCCCGCGCCCTAGCCCGTCGCCCTGGCCCGCGCCCTAGCCCTTCGCCCAGGCCTGAGCCCTAGCCCGTCGCCAAGGCCCGCGCCCTAGCCCGTCCCCCTGGCCCGCGCCCTGGCCCGTCGCCCCAGCCCGCGCCCTCGCCCGTCGCCCTTGCCTGCGCCCTAGCCCGTCGCCCAGGCCCGCGCCCCAGCCTACGCCCTACCTCTGCCGCCCGGTGCCTTTGCCCTACCCGCCCGGCGCCCCTGCCCTAGACCGCTCGCGCGCTCCTCCCCTAGCCCACGTGCACCTGCCCTAGTCCGCCCGCACGCACCTGCTCTTCCCACCCGTTCCCCCCCTGCCTTACCCGCCCGCTGCGACCTGCCTTCCCTGCCGCTTCGGTTTGCGAACAATGGCGACACCTCGCGTCCTTCGTTTCGATGCTGACGGTCGCCCGCTCGATTTCTCGGTCTGGCTCCTCCGCGCGCGTCGCCTGCTAGAGAGTCAGGTCCAGTCGGGAGAGACCCTCTGGGCGCACGCTGCTGGTGTTCTTCCTGCGCCCCCCGACCCCGCGCCATTAGGCCCGGACCCAGACGACACTGCTTGCGACCGCTTTGACCGCCAGCGTGCCGCTCTTACGGCGTGGACGTCGCGTGACGCTGCGGCACGCATCGCCCTCAGCAGCCTCCTCCCTGAGTCTGAGGAGGTTCACTTCACTCAGGTTCGCTCTGCTAGCGAGTTCCTGACTACGATTAAGACGCGCTACGCTACTCCCGCTACTGTCTCTCTTGGTCGTCTTTTCCTCCCGTTCCTGTTCCCTGATCTCGCTTCGTTTGAGCGCTCAGCTGACTTGGTCGCTCACCTCCGCTCGCTTGACTCTAGCCATCGTGCTGCCTGCATTGACACATAGCTCGCACTGCTCCCTCCCCCGATGGCGATTACTATCTATTTCATCGCCACTAGCCTTGACCGCCTTGCCTCTGTTCGTGACGCGCTTCTTCTGAAGCACCCTAGTGAGCTCACTATCGAGGTCCTTGAGTCCGCACTCAAGGACGTCGAGAGCAACCTTCGCTCTGTAGCCGCTGCCTCTGGTGCTGTGCCCCCCCCACTGTTCCACGGGTGCACAGTTCCACAGCTGCCCACCTTTACTGCCTCTCTAGCCACTGCTGCCACTGACGTCACTGCAGCAGGTGCTACGACTTCCTCGCGGTCCCGGAGTAGGGGCAGCAGGAAGCGGTTCGGGTTCGGGCGGTGGGGGTGGTGGGGGTGACGTCGCGCCTGGAGGTGGTGGAGGAGCTGGGTCTGGAGAGGCGTCCCGAGCGGCGACCACTGACTCCCCTGCTGGTGCTGGCGACGTCCGCGTTCGTCAGTCGCCCCCTGGACTCCCGGCCGCGGCGGGTGGAGCAGCGGCGTGGTACCTGGCTCAGGGGCAGTAGCAGCAGCAGCCCCTCACCTCCCAGCAGCCTTCGCAGCAGCAGCGACTGCAGCCGGCTTCGGGTCAGGGCAGCGTTAGCCCCAGCGCAGTGCTGTTCACCGTCCGTGCACCTATCAAGTGGCATATGCGCGCCGCGGCCGGTCGTGTGGCCGCACTCACCCTCCTGGTCAGTGTTTTGCTCAGCTCACTGACATGGTTTGTCTGGCCTACGGGGTTGGCGGTCCTGCCCCTGACTGGGTTTCTCTTGTGTCGCAGCACGGCTCCGCTCTGTGGGGCATGTCTGTTGCGCAGCTTGTTGATCTGTTCGGAACTCTTCCTGCTATGTATGCTGTTGTTGACTCTAGTGTTTCTGACTCTGTTTACTCTGGTGTTGTTAGCTTAGGTGCTAGCCTTGCTGAGTTGCCTGTTGCTAGTGTAGGTTCTTGTTTAGACCTTTGCGCCTACCCCGAAGATGACCACTCTTCGGGTGTTACTGCACGTAGCAGCACAGAGAGACTACGAGTTACACTCTCTAGACTTCTCCACTGCTTTCCTTCAGGGTAGCCTTCACGAGGAGGTCTGGCTTCGTCGTCCCTCTGCCTTCACTGGCTCTTTCCCTCCTGGGACCCAGTGGAGGCTGAGGCGACCGGTTTACGATCTTCCTTAGGCTCCTCGTGAGTGGCACGACACCCTTCGTTCTACCCTGTCTTGCCTTGATTTCCAGCCGTCTTCTGCTGACCCTTCACTGTTCGTTCGTCGAGGTACCACACCGTCGAGGTACCACACCGACCTTCGCTAGCTGATCACACCTCTACCGGCGCCCGTTTCTGTGGCCTGCAGATCACCAGGGACAGAGCTGCTCGCACCATTACACTCTCACAGCCACACATGGTGCAGCAGGTCCTTCAGCGGTTCGGGCTTCAGCACTCCACAGTACAGCGCACACCTCTTGCTGTTGACCACAGACTGACTGACTGGTCCTTTTCCTGACGAGCCGTTCGAGCCCAGTGGTCCCTACGCAGAGCTGGTGGGTTGCCTCATGTACCTGATGACTTGTACTCGCCCGGACCTCGCCTTCCCTCTCAGCATCCTTGCGCGCTTTGTTGCGCCAGGGAGACACCGTCCTGTTCACTAGACGGCGACTGTGAGGGTGGCGAAGTACCTAGCGACGACATCAGGCGTGGGGCTAGTTCTTGGAGGGCAGCATTCTGTCACACTTACTGGTCACTGTGACTCTTCTTACGCTGACGACGCTGAGACTCACAGGTCTACTCAGGGTTACTGTTTCAGTCTGGGTTCTGGAGCTGTTTCTTGGAGGTCCACGCGCTCCTCCTCGGTCTCGACCTCCACCGCTGAGGCTGAGATCTACGCTGGTGCCATGGCGGCACAGGAGCTGCGTTGGTTGACCTTCTTGCTCACTGACCTTGGTGAGAGGCCGAGCTCTGCACCGACCTTGTTCTCTGACAACAAGGCATCGATTCTCCTTTGTCGTGAGCCACGACTGGAGAGCAGAGTGAAGCACATCAATGTCAGGTACTTTCTTCTGCGAGAGTTACAGAGGCGTGGACATGCTCGTTTTGAGTTTGTGGAGTCCGAGGCCAACACTGCAGACATCTTCACCAAGGCACTTCCGCCTTGTGACCACCAGAGGTGTTGTGTGCAGTTAGGCCTTGTTGACTCTGATTCTTGTCTTGTGTAGACTTGA